CGAATGAGATGTTATATGAATATGAATCAATATACTAAACCAAATGATTTGAAGGAAATAAGTGGAAATTGAGCATGCACAAGATTATCGGGTCTCCGAGAAGCAGAAGTGTTTTGTATAATTTTACTTTTAAATTCATCCAATTTAGATATGCAACAATATTGCGTTAAATTACGTTAATAGGTTCATTTCTGTAGAAAGATGATGGTAGCTAGTTCCCACAGGTTTGATTTCCAAAACAGATTATTTTTGACCAGTTCAGAAGCCTTATGAAAATTTGCAATAGATCCTGTCTTGGACAACGAAAAGTAAATGTACTATTTTAGAAGAACTTAACTATATAACAAGAGGTTCTAGTCGGGAACTCCCGACTAGGGGATACTCGAACCCTCTTCTTCCAACATCAAATGCATATATATATTCTATTTTAGAAGCTATATGTCAAGTTTGGTGACTCTAGCTCTTATTTACCAAAATTGCCCAAAAAAAACAGGATATCGATATCGATTTTTATCGATTGCTTGGAAACGGAGTAAGTAATCGATTATCGGAAACAAACTCGATCTGCGCGGGAAGTAGGAGCACCTACATTTCAAGTATCAAGCTCTTATAGGTTCTGAGATCCTTGCGTTCATACATACGGACAGACGGACAGACAGACGGACATGGCTAGATCGACTCGGCTATTTATGCTGATCAAGAATATATATACTTTTTGGGGTCGGAGATGCTTCCTTCTGCCTGTTACATACATTTGGCTTTCGCACAAATACAATATACCCTTATACCCATTTTTAATGGGTTCAGGGTATAAAAAGCCGATAGATATCAACCACGTCTAAATAAGGATAAACCTGAAATACACTGACGAAATTCTAAAATTTCATTTTATTAATCGACTCGTCTTAATTCATATTGGTAGGAATTAAGTGAATGGGGAAAGCAAAAATTGAATAAAACATATGGAAATTTCACATTTGTGTTTACTTATTTCTGTAGAAAAATGCCAATCGAAAGCTTGATATCTAAAATAGTACATATACATATGTCTATGTAATGTAAATTTGTAGGCCCCCACATTTGTATGATCCGACTAGAAGTCTGAAATACATTTCAATGGGTACTGCATTGGTTTAACTGCATAGAATGTGTATTCCACTCTGAATAGCAGCTGCCTTTGCTCTTGTTTCTGAGGTTGCGTAAAAGTGAAGTGAAATTGGGTTAACGAAGGAAATTCGTCTGAAATTGAAATCTGGCGGCGTGGAATGTGGGTTACACACATATCCAGACGCTTAAGAGTATGCAACGATTGCTGCGAATCAATTCAAACCCTCTCACAATTAGTGCGATGTCTGAGAAACGCTGTGTGCAGTTCTTTTTTTTTTCTGGCAGACAGCCTGGCAACACCTTGACAACTTTATAGTTGCCAAGTCAACTAGTTATTGTTGTTGTTTGTAGTTGCTTTAGTTGTTGTGCAGTCAGTTGAAACTGTCGCAGGTGCTCGTTAGTTTTGCTTCGGCACTTTTGGCCTGATCCTCAAGTGTCGCCGAGTCCTGTCACATCCTCAACGCCAGCTTTGTCGGCGACTTTTCAAAGTTCTGCAACGTCGCCAAGTTTTGTTTGGGGCGCGTTGTGCAAGTGTGTGTGGGTGGGGGGTTAGGCGAGCGTAGTTTGGGTTTGCATTCAAATTAAATAGCATTTTAATGAATATTGATTGATTGCTTGTGCCTCGCCTCGAGGCAAATTAAAAGCAATTGGCGCTATGGCAAATCGAAAAACTTTGCCCAAAAACTTTGGCCTTGTAATTGAGATAGTCGAATTGCAGTTGCAGTTCCAATTCCAGTTGAATTTCAAATATATTTCGCAAGAAATGCTGAAAATTTGTTAATCAACAGTTGTTTGTAGCATTCCAGAAACTTTAATTTGGTAAAGGAAATTTTAAAATGTATTTATTAATGCATGAGCTTTGACTTTTAGAGTTGTATTAAGAAAAATGGTAATAAACGAATGTCAATCTGTGCGGCTCGAAAATGGAATTTTAGTTGTCTTCTTGCCTATGAGCCAAATCGTGGAAATATTGGAAAGTTATACAGAAAGTAGGTGAAACTGAATCGAAACAGAAACATATCTTTTTCAAAAATGGATTGCTTTAAGAAGATACTTTTTGGACTATTTGCAAATAATATCTATTTATATTTTTTCTATTTACATATTTATTATACATATGTAAAATGTATATAATTTTCTATTAAATGTAACCGAATAACAATTGTTTTTTTGTTACTACAAACCGATTTTCATTGTTATTTATTCATTTCCACATTCATATTATTGCTTAAATATTCTCCATGAAAATTTGACAATTCGATTTTAGCCAACTTTCGCAGATATTTAAAACTAAACAGTTTTATTTGCTTGTGGAATTTGCAGCAACCTTTAAAATAATTCAGTATTAAGTAGTAGACAGCTCGGTCGAGGACATTACGCAACAGAGGGCTTGGGGTTGAGAGAATAGCGCCGGGCTTGGGGAAAGGAGAATTGTTATTGCAGTGCGAGCTGCAACCGGAAATGAGTAAACAAGCGTCAAATAGTAAAAACACAACCAGTGTGCGGGGCTGGCAAGTGGGCGCCAGGACAACGAGTGTCCTGCTGCAGTCCTTACGAAAATATAAATAAATGAAACATTAAACAAAACTGCGACGACAACAATGGACAAAGCCCTTGTCGAGCGAGTGCTTCAGGACGTGGAGTATTGGAGTGTGGCGCGTGCATAAGGACGCGAACGCGGATGCGGGCGCGGGCGCGGACGCGGACGCCACGGCAAAGATGGCGAAAAATGAGCGAAGACAACAACCGGATATCCGGCAACTTTATAAGCAGCCAGCAGGCAGCGCCACAAAGGACAACCAGACACCAGCGACCAGCGACCGACGCCGATGCCAATGCCGATGCCGCCGCCAACGACAACGTAGTTTATTTTAACTTTTGATTTCCGCCTTTTTGGTATGCTGAGTATTTTCTTTGGCTCAACCCTCCACGCCCAACTCTGCCCGCCTCTCCGACTCAGCTCAGTAACCTGGTCAGCTGCATGGCAATGCAGCAAGCGCTACTTCGTCGAGTCCTCAAGCACATCTTCAAGACGAAGAAGCATGCCGGGCGCCTGCATTAAAAATGAATTAAACTTGCGTTTCTCAAGCTCCCATCTGCCAGAGTTCCTGTGTCCTTTCCCAGGAGCTGACTGCGATATTCAACAAGAGTTTCCAGCCAGCACGCAATTCAATTTACACTGCCCCAAAGACAACTTCCCAAATGTCGCTGCCATGTTTTGGGTGTGCTATATACATATATATGTAAATAGATATACAGATACATACTTGTGCAGAAATGAATACAAAGGCTTTCATCTTTTTCAAACATCCGCATTATATTTAATTAACCTAAATTAATTATTGTTATATTATAAATCATATCATAATATGCAATCAGAGTAGGCTTCGCATTCGACTCAAATCATTTTTTTATTTGATATCTCAACACAGAGCTTCGTATTTTGCTCAGTACACTCTTTAGATTCTTACAAACAACATCAAAAAAACTAAAAACCGAAAACTGAAACAAAAAAAAAAAAAATAAACATTACTCGTCGACACAAAGAGGTCCTTATTTTAAGCAAACAGTGTAACTTTTTATAATTTTGTAGAAAAGTTTCAAAGCGAAAAAAATTTAATAAAATTAAAACCAAAAAAAAAAACAAATTTCTAAAAATAAAAACCAATAAATAACAGGAACTAAAAACCACAAAAAAAACTATTAAACGAAACTAAAAAATATATAAAATATTCTCCAATTTAATTTGGAGATACTGTTGATATTGATATCGGCATGGATATACCTGGCTTTACCTAAACATAACTGGATATAACTCGGACTGTAAGTAGAGACTCCTCTCAAAGAAGCTCTCGGCTAAATAATTTCTATTTGCAGTGACAAAGATATATGTATATATTATATGTAACGAAATATATATAATCTATTATAGACCTGGATTCTAATTAGGATGACTGCGAGTTGGTTGCTTATCTTCAGTGATCCATGATCCATGATCTTATTTATACAGTGAGCCATGCGAGCTTGTTCTTGCCTACGAACGCCTGGGGGGTCTTCTCTCATATCTTCAATCCTGGGCTTCACGATATGGTACACTGTCATCTGATTCACTTGTTCACGCTCAGTGGCTTCTTTCGAAAATTGCACTGGAATAGTTTCGTACGACTATCTGGGAGAAATTTGTTGTTTATCTGTTCGGATGGTGGAGTTGTTGTAAATTCTGGTTTATCAATACAGTAATTCTCTTTGGCAATAAATATACAAAACAAATGGTTGGCCTTGGGAGGGTATCCGCACACTAATGCACTGCTGCATGGGGAAGGGAGACTGGCTAGGAACATCTGTATTTGTGTACTCTAGAACAAGAGATTTAATAAAACTGCAATACGAATAAAATCTTTGTCGCTATTCGATGTCATTTACTCGGAATACAAACGTTTTTCTCTAGAGGAGAAAAGGCATCGGCTTAGATCGGGCGCACCTGAGTGCCATTCAAGAACTGGCAATTAGTCGAACGTGTAATTAAGCTGCAATACTAATTAACATTGGGCAACATTGTATGCATCTTTTCATCAATCTGGCATATAGATATACTTATATATATATATATATATATATAAAATGTCCCGAAGCATTGGTCCGATATTTAGAACATTTTCTACTCTTCCCCTGTAGCTAAAGTTACCAAAATCTTTTAATAACAAGCTTCACTATTTTTGCTCATATATCCGTAATGGCTGAAGCCACAGATAGCTGCAGTTGGGCTCAGATATATATATATAATTTTTTTATAGCCCATTTGAACCAACTCTGCACACAAAATCTGCTTTGCGACAGTTTACCCAAGACTTTCCAGTCTCTGGATATATGTTCAGAAATATCTCATTGTATTGCCAAGCAGAAAGGCAACACAGTTGAACATAACAAGACTACACAAAATATACATATTTGTATGTGCAGAATGCATTTAAAAACAAATTCGCCCAGCTCTTTCCATTTGGTTTCCCTGGACATCGATGAGGAAAACGATGAAAGCGACGACCTGTTCATTGACTTCAAGCAAAAGCATTTCGGGCAAGTTCAGCGTCAATTGAAATTTTATATAGTCTGTCATATATTCTCATGTCTGGTGCGTAGCCCCCAACTACAGTTGCTCGATTACAAACACTTCAAGGCGGCACGCACAATTCAAAGTCATTTTCGGGGCTGGCGCGTGCGTCAATCAATGAAGAATAGGCAGCATGCGGCAACTGTTCTGCAGAGAGCGTGGCGTCTCTTTATTGGCAAGCGGTGTCTGATCAGCACCCTCCAGGAGCACGTTCAGAAAAGCATACTAATCATGTTCAACAATGCCTCGCGGAAGATACAGGCATTATTTCGGGGCTGGTGGGAACGCAAGTATATCAATAATGTGGTCTTTTTGGAAGAAATGCGGCTTCATTGCATGGAGGATCTATTGACCGGGTATGCGTACAAGCTGCACACCATGATGCGCACCCAACATTTACCAGGATCTATGAGCTTTAATGGAAATCCGTAAGTGTCTTGTCGACATTTTTCTATCAGTTGCTACAGTTGCTTCTACTAGCGAATAACTACTATTATCGATACATTTTAATCGATTATCGCCAATCAATGACAATCTATCGATTATATGCTGACGATAGTCGGTCATAATTTTACTTATCTCTTTATTCGTTTTTGCAAGGATATATGAGCTATAGAAATCCGTAAGTGTCTTGTCGATATTTCCCTGCCGACATTTATCTATCAGTTGCTACAATTCTATCTAGCGAATAGCTACTATTATCGATAAAGTTGGATCGATTGTCGCTTATCAATGACAATCTATCGATTTTCTGCTGACGATAATCGTTCATCATTTTACTTCTCTTTTCTTTATTCTTCCTTTTTCAACTCTCCCGATTCTATCTAGCGAATAGCTACTATTATCGACAAAGTTTAATCGATTGTTGCTTATCACTAACAATCTATCGATTATATGCTGACGATAATCGTTCATCATTTTACTTATCTTTTCTTTATTCTTCCTTTTTCAACTCTCCCAGAGACTTGCAAAGAATAGAGGACCTGATGGCATGTATGTCCTATCGATTTTACAATCGATTTGTGGACACCAAGTTTTTGTCTAGCAGGGCTATCTTAGAAATGCACCGTCGCAAGTTTGCAGATTCCGCATTTCTGACTTGGGTACCATATGCAGGCTTCAATCGCATTGGCGACTGCTATGTACCGCCACCGGAAAAGCAACACAAGGAGTATGATCAACTTGAAAACGATATCGCGAAGATTATTTTGCCATCGGATCGCATGAACGAGAATAAAAAGAAAAAGCTAAGGGACAAAGAGGAAAGTGAGTAAAATTTGAAATGGGAATATCTCTACTAGACTGTTGCCATATAATGAATTTTATGTTTTTTTCTGTTGCCATTTATCATCCAGGTATACGCAGGAAGTCGCATCCTCTTTGCGATAATAAAAGACGTTTTTGTAAGGATCTTGTGTTGAGCATGAGTTCTTGGCCTATGTGCAACGCATGCAAGGTAACAGTAACGGACCGCTTATTAGGTCCAGACTTTGGTGAATTCCTCGATAATGTTAAAGCTTCTTTGGAGGCCATACACCAAGTGGCCAACTGTAATTGCCAGCGTGATACGAGACATGAGGGTTACTTTCAACCATGCGAATGATTTCCAAGCTCACACAGTTTACTATTTTTTTTTTTTTTTTGCAAAATAAACGGGCACTATCGACTATCGATAAGAGTTTACATATAAAAAAGTTTATGTATAAAAAGTATTGTCATCTGCCTTAAGCTGAATTATCCATTAGATAGTTTAAAAAACTTGCTAAATGCAAAAATAAACACGTATAATGTAAATCTTTACTGAAGGACGCGTTTTACTCTTTTATAGCAAATTTGTTGGTAGCGAATTCTGAACGAATATCCAAAGTTAAGCATGAAATATTTATCGGAATTTTCAACAAATCAATGTAAGTGTAAATAATAAGAGAAATAATAATACAGTGTAAATAATAAGAGCGTGATACACGGATGATAGCAAATCCAGAGCCAAGATAAAACTGCAACAAAAAAGTGTTGTACAACACCGTTTTGTTAATTTTTTCAGCTTCAAATACCAAATATCAACCCCGTTCTATCAAATATGTAGATTAAAACTCATGTTGGACTCAATTTCGATTTTATATAAGAATACTTTACATAACTCTATAAGCAGCACTCAACAAGCCTGTGATTCGAAACCTAAGCCTTATTATTTAGTTGACTCGCTTATTTAAGCAACTCATTTCGCTTGAAGCTTTATTTGTTTATATATTTGAAATCGAAACCTAGGGCAACTTTTGACTTAGACAATCTGCCCGTTCCCACACACACACACCCACACACCCACCCGCACACACGCATAAATGAGCTCAATCAATATTGGCAACAAATTAAATTTAATGATGTTTGTTGCTTGCAGCCAAAGTCAAGTAGAAGCAAGTATAAAAGAGCTACGAAATTGGCAACTCTGGTAAATATTTACCGACTGACGCTAATGAACTTGAGCATACAAATAGGCAACACACACACACACACACACACACAGAGACTAGAAAACAGTTACTGCTTTTAGTAGCCCAAAATATGTTCTCAGCAGAATCTGCAAAAAGAAAAGTCAAGTCGAAATGCTTCTTTGATTAAAGAGTCTTGCACAAAAATTTGCTCACTTACAGATTTCGCTCATGTCGTAGTTTTCTTTCATTTTCTTCTACTGGTTTTTTCTTGCACAGTGAAATGGACGAGAGAAACGTGTTTACACAAAGAATTTTTCGCTATTGATTGTGTGATTGCGATACATGTGTGCGTGTGCGCGTATACGTGTGTGTGTGTGTGTGTGTGTGTGTATTTGCACATATGCCAGGACATTGCCGAAGAAGCACGTTTGGTTATCCATTGTGGGCACACAAAAGTCAACAGCACTTCTTTGATTTTTATTCCCCATTTATACACTAGCTGAGGGTATTTTTAGCTTGCCATGAGACATAAAATGCATTGCCAAGAGATTACTTTATATATCTAATAGGGGCCAACCGTAACGTTAAGAGATTGCATACTTTTAAAGACAGTCTCTGTTTTTAATATTTTTCTTACTCATGAATCATTATGAATATTCTCAATGTTTATGGTTATCAACAATAGAGTTTCTAATCACATTGCCTTCACCGTACTCAAGGGAATTTCAACTTCACCAATTGGAAAGCTATATTTTCGCGTCTCCCATTTCTGGGTTCGTTATTTGCAGTGATTCACAGTCAAGTTGAGCTCTGAGTAGGCTACTTGTCGAAATTCGAAGAGAAGTTATCTCTGAGCCAGTCTGCTCTTTTATGCTTGAAGTGTGTCTATAGTAAATAATCTAGCAGGCTTTGCAATCGAAACGCACAACATGTACATGGATCGTGCTGAAAGTATTCAGTTTGCATTTGTGCATAGCTCTTGCAGGAGCTAAAAAGAAATGTGAAAGCTAAAAAACTGAACAAAACAATTGTAAAACATGGACAAATGTATAAAAAAAAAAATCGGAAGTTAACTAGTTAGTTAAGTAAAAAGTGAAAACCGTTTTCATATTGACAATCAAAAAGTAAGTTATTTTAAATATACAATTATATTCTAATATATATTTGTTTAGAAATACATCGATCGAGAACTCTGCGAGAATTGATGTACTGGGATGTTCCACAAAATTAAATGCATAGATATGTGAGTAAAACTTATCTAAAGTAACCTATAAGAGCGTCTCTTATAGAAGAAATAAACCTTATAAATACTAAATTCAGAAAATCGCATTTTTAGGCCCATTTTGGCGAGGATTGAAACTGAATATACATTTAAGGAATATTGTAGAGATTCCTCGAATTGTTTCTTCTACTTCTCAATAGACAACACAAACATGAACTGTTCTACAAAAAGCACATTTTGGTTTAACTGCAAGAAGTGTGTTTAGCAAGGCAACTGGAAAATGCTAAGAGGACAATTTTCAGGATTTTTGCTTTATTCTATTAGACGCAAATAATGCGCACTGTTCAATTGAGAGCTGAATACGTAGCATCTATTTAGCATATGCTGATCTTGACAACACTAAATTTAATATTTTGAAAATCTAAAATAAAATTGAACAATTAATATATATTGAAAATAAATAGCTCAGCTCTAATCTGAGCAAAAGCCAAAATTGTATACATGCTAAAATGTCGTTATTTTATCATTTCTTCTGCATATTCAATTTATTGCCATAAGCACAAGCACATTTCCGAATTTTCGCTCTTTTTCGAACCCTATTTATTGCTCAGACCCCTTAGTTATATTAATACATTAATAAATCAGTTCTTTACGCATTATCAATTATCATTGAAGTCAGTTGGTGCCATACGAGCCACATTCTGCATCTAGTTTATATTCTCAAAAATCAAACAAATCAATATTATTTAAGGATTGTGGCAGCTTTAAAACTGGCCTTAATGCTCAAAAATTACCTTTAAAAGATCTTTAAATCCATTAAGGACATAAATATGCCAGTCATACGGAGAGAGAGAGAGGGTGTGTTTTGTCTAGTGTTGTACAGCGGCATTAAATAGAAACCGTATTAACCCAAATATGCAAATAAATTTGCCAGCAAAGCGAACAGCAGCAACAAAGCTGCACATTAACTTCCGCAGCTCATTAAGTCGCTGTCAACTATGGAGAGAGAAAGAGAGAGAGAGAGCAGCCATAGAGAAAGGGAAAGCGGGAGAGCGGGAGAGCGGGCGCCTGCTGTAAATACTCGTATATACAAATTTATGCGACGCCAACTGGACGACAGCACACACTCACACACACACACACACAGCTGCAAATCACAGGCTTGCCAGACAGCAGAAAGTTCGCCGATTCTCACAACAAATAAAACATTTGGCCCCCATGTAAATTATGAGGGCCACGGAGCAGACCCAAACCAAAAGTAGGCAATACGTAAATTAGCACCATAAAAAATAAAAATAAAAAGATATTTAAATATATATATATGTACGTATGAAAAGCGCGCCAGAGGTCAACTGTGGGTGAGCATCAGGGATGCTAACGCTGGCCCACAGCCCCGCCCCGCCCCGCCTTGTAGCGCCCCTCCTTACACCAAGAAAAGGCTAAACGAAAATGTCGACACATTTAATGAAAATAACAGCAATTTTTTCTTTCTTTTTTTCTGAGCATTGGGCGTACTAAAAAATGATGTAAGGCCTTTGTAGTCGACTTGGGAGACACTCTTCACTGAACTTCGAGATGTCTTGGACATAAATTCGTGTGCATAAAAAATGGAGAGGTCTAAAAAATCATTTGTAAATCGACTTTACCAAATATGTAGGCAAACTGCACAGAATTAACACATTCTAGATATAAAAGTCTCTATAAATGGCTTACATTTAGTTATGCTCGTTGTCAACATTAATATGCCGCTTTTGTATAGTTACAGGGTATATCAAAAGAAATGAAAAACAAAAAACCAGTACACTTCCTTGGCCTCCAGTTTAATTAGGCCGTCTGCTGCTTTTGTGGCCTATATAGGAAAAATGCCTCAAAAATTGTTCGTTTAATTCTGGGCTGGCCTCGCGTCCCGGTCGAAGGTCAGTTTTATTGTTATGGGTCGCGTTTCGGGTCTGGGTGTGGCCAAACTAATTAGTGGCCATTTTGTGGGCGTTGCTGTTTAATGAAATTTTAATAGAACTTTAATTGAAATACAGCTCCTGCCTCGAAATTGTGACGATTGCTGAGCCAACAAAAAAGTTAGAGCACAAGGAATTTCACATGACGCCAATTGATAATTGGCCAATGGGCGAATAATTTGCACCTGGCCTAAGATCAAGAACTAGGTGCTTGTTATCATTTTGAAAACAATTTCTAAACATTTTAGGCCAAGTGGAGTTAGCCTTATCCAACATTAGTATGTTTGCCAACCACACTGAACATTGAATGGGAAAACTCATTAAAAATATTGTACAAGCATTTTTAAGTAATTGGAAGGTGGTCTTAAAAATGTTGAAATTTATAACGCTGAGTTCCGAACACCTGCTTTTTTTTAGCTGTTTCTTAGACATTACATCAATTTATTTTCAAATAGAATGATTTTCATTTACGCCCTTAGGCAGACAGCTTCAAGAAGAGAATTTAATTAAATAAGTAGTCTTTCTCGGGAAGTTTCAATTGCAGGGATTTTATTTGCCAAGAGGAAAAAGAAACCTAAAGCCGAAATCCTTGAAAGCCATTTCCAGGAATTTCGCTTAACAAAGACAACAAAATAGTTCGCTAATTATAAAATATGTGTAAAGGATGCGAAAGTCAGGAAATATACTTGAAATAAATTAAAAAGCGAAGAGTTTTTAATGAAAGAATTAATTAGGCATGGGCGTAATTAAGTTAAAGCAGATGTTTAAAATTAGCAATTACCTAAACTTACAAATTCAAGAGCGGCCCAATAATGCAAATATTATTTTAAAATAGATGTAAATAAATATATTTATATAACTTACCTGCCTGTTAGCTTAAGCTCAAATAGTTGCAGCAATTAAAATCGAATTCTCACATTTGACAAACGAACGAATTGTTTTCAAGCAGTCAAATATTGTGAATGACTTTGCTGCAGAGTTGCATTTGCCGCGCTGCTGCTGGCATTCATTTAATTTACCGTTCTTCTTGCACATTCCTTGTGGCTGCCTTAAGCCACACACACACACACACACACACACGACAATAATTAAACACACGCGCCGCGTAATGACAAACAGAAGGTTACAAAATGACTGACGACGGGCGACGCTTAACGAAACGTCGAACGAGCAGCCGCCGAAATTTATAAAAAATGCAACTCAAGAAGAAGAAGAGGCAGCAGCAGCAGCAACAGCAGCCGCCTGTGCCTTACGTTCAGAGTATTCAGTTGCCGTTAGTTTCGCACAGTTATTCTTGTTGTTTTGCGTGTTATTTTGTTGTTGTTGTTTTTGTTGGTTTGCCACGGCGACGGCTTCGTGTGCGCTGCTTTTGCCCGCTTGGGGCAGAGATCCACTTCGTAGCGCGTTATCAATGGAACTGCTCAACTGCTGATTTTTCTCGTCATCGTCGCTAGCATCGCTCCAGTAAGTAATTTTTACTCGTCTTGCTCGTTCGTGACGGAACTCTCTCGGCCGCTCGGCTCAGCTTCGTGTTGCCGTCGTTTTTTGGGCGGGCGAGTCAACTTGACGAAAGTCTGCTGTCAGCTGAGCGTAAGTGCTGGGCATTTCTTTTCGCCCTGTAAATGAGAGAGAGAGAGGAACAGCTGTTAAGATAAAGGATATTTTAACATTAACATTTTCTAATGTTAACAGTTACATTGCAATTCTTGTATTATCAATATTGTAACGGTATTTACATTTTTTATGATAATTTTTTAAAAAAATCTTGAAAATAATTTGATATGTGATTGTATTAACAAGCTCTCACCCGAAATTCTCGGGCTTTACACTCATTTTGTAACATTTTTACAATTGAGTACGATAAAGAAAAGTACTTTAAAAATGTAATAAAAAAAAAACAAAAAAATTCAGATAAATTATGTGAAAATCAAAATATCAAAAAGAACAGTTATAATACGTTTTTTATTAATACATTCAATAATAATTAAGAATACTATTGTGTATACTGTTAACATTTCGACCAGTCAAATGCAGGAGTTGTCCCAAAACGAAATACTGGGAAATTATTAGGACCTTTAGTTGAGGCCCTATGGGTAATTATTTTAAAAGTTTAACGTTTAGTTTTCTATTGGTTTCGCATATTTAGAAAATTTTATTTTATGTTATTATATCAAAAGCCTAACCCAATGTGGAATTAAGCTATAAAATATTGCCTATTTATATTTGCTTTTATTTTAATATTACTGTTTATAGACTGCCTTTACTAGGATTAACTGATGTGTGTTGTAAGTTTAAATATATATAAATATGTAAGCAAATAGAATAAAGAAAAAGTACGCGTACCAGCTTTTAACAACTTATCTAAGCTGCTGGAATTTACGTAATCAAATATAACCACGCACCTTTACCCCATTAACACGTACTTTACACAGCCAAATTTTCTCATGTAATTGTTGCTTTCATTAGTTGCCATTAATTTCAAATTATGCTTTTAAATATAATGAGTCAAGGCTCTTAGTTATAAGTAGCTAAACACCTAAAACAACAACAAATCAAATTAGTGGAGAGTTATTCTCCACAAACCCCTATTTAAACACACACACACTCTGTCAAACACGTCTTTAGTTAGAAATCAGTTTTAATATGCTTAATATAATTATAAGAAGCGCAGAAAGAGGCGCTATATGTTTGGCCATTTTCCACCTCCACCGCTTGCATACAAATTAAAGCATAATTTATAAGTGGGTGTGCCTGGGTGTGTCTACATAGATTTGCCTGTGCTTAAACCTGACGACTGTCATAAAAATGTTGTTTTTATTGTCGACGCGGCGCCGAAACCTCAAAATGAAATATGCATTTTGAATTGCCTGTGTTGTTGGTGGAAATTGAAGGTTTAATGAGGGAGGGGCATACTCTGAAATTAGTTTAACACACGTGTGTGCATTTTCAAGTTTTTTTTACGCTTTAAATGGGCTCAGTTAACTCGAGGGGGAGCAGGTTAGACGCAAAATGGCAAACTTCTCCCACGCGCCTTATTTTCTATAAGTCAATTGAAATTTATTGCACACACATACGCACATCCCATGCTGGCAGCTTGTTTATCTGCAAAAATATTTGTATGTGCCGTCTACCCGCACCCCTCTATATACGCATACCTCCATTAGCTCACCTGGCTTAGGTACTTGCTGCTCTATAATAATTTACAAAGCATTTTACGCTTCGCTTCGCCTGCCATCTGCATTAGCTGCAAAGTCAGTTGGCCAAAGCGTTAAGGGCGCGGAGGCGGGGTTGGGGGGTGGTTAAGGGTAGGGTGTAACAATGTCTGCATTATGTAAACACATAAAAAGTCTACGCGTCCTTGATCTATGGCCCTTGCCTTGCCATTAGTATTTGTATTCAGCTAGCTTTGCTAGCCGACTTCTTAGCCATTTTGACTAATGGCCAATTATGATGGACGGCAATTTTATTTTTGGCTTTTTTTCACCTCATGCCTGTCACATTCAACTGCAGCGTTTCATAGGGATTTCAGATATGGCTTTGTCTTAAGATTTGTTAGTTTAAAGAAACCTAAGCAAACTGGAAGGAATGTTTTGTGCTCTGACGAGAGCTCAAAAGAAATTTGTAGCCTGCTGATTTTGCATTTTAAAGAAGGTAAAGAAACTGCAACACAGTGACAATAACATTTCCTAAAAAAAGTTAAGCATTAGGTCCACTCCAAATATTTCTAGGTTTTTTTCTCTTTTCAATTAAGGCAATGCGAGCTCTCTATTTCGATTTTTAAACATTAGAGAAAGGAGAGGACACTATTTATAGCTTTCTTAATTCAAAGATTTTTCGACTTAACTAGGACTTCTCCCTACGAAGCTTTTACTCATGTTTAGAGCATTTATAATTATTTCTGCTTTTTTCTATTTAAAGAAATATATAGCGAGAAATATTGAGCTGGATATATGTGTGTGACATGTCTCTGAGGCGACACAAAAACAATTTCCAAGTCATAAGAAAAGCAATGCATCATTTTTATGCCGAAAAGTTTACAAGAGTCGCAGCCGATTAATGTGCCCAGAGGCCAGAAAGAGCGCACGCAGCCAGAGTTGACACACGCACACGCACATGCAGACACGCACGCACGCACACTAATAGAGAGGCTGCCAGCGCACAGAGAGCACCCCAAAGGATATTAACAATAATCTAACCAAATTAACCCAAAGCACTAAAGTGTAAGTGACATTAAGTTAATTTTCGAGCTGAAGCGTAAGAAATAAGCATAGAGCAGGCTGGGAGAGAGAGAGAGAGACAGAAAGAGAGAGATGAAGGCACAAAAAAAAGTTGAGGTTTTATTTCAGTTGTTGTTGCTGTTGGCTGTTGGCTGCAACTGTGCAAAATTTCCCACGAGATCAATCAGCCACAGGCAGCAGCAGCAGCAGCAGCTTGGCTCTGTTCCCCATTCATGTTGTTGTTGCTGTAACAGTAACCGCTGCTGTTGTTGTTGTTGTGGCTGTTATTACTACTTTTTGCAACTTTTTTCTTTTGTATTACTTGGTCGAGCGTCTGCTTTTGTTGTTGTTGTTTTTTGTTTTGTTTTGCACTTTGTCTATGAGCAGCAGCTTTTTTCGCATCTCTTCTCTTTTGTGCTGTTCTTTTTGCTCTTTTTGTTTTACACCTTTTGGCATTGGCCTTTCGCAGCGAGCGCAGCTAATGAAGCGACGTTGATGAAGCCAAAGCGGCGCAGGGGGCGTGGCGCGGTTTTGGTTCAGTGGCGGCGTGTGGCTTAACGGGGGCTGAAATGGGGTGTGGGCTTCCATCTACTTCACCTGCACAGCTCCTCTTGAGGTTTTACAAAGTGAGTTGGGATATTTTGTGGCAAGCGAAAATGTGAAACACGTGAGTCATGCAAGCTAACAAAAACAAATTTTAACAAAATTTGTAATTTTAAGATTCGCCCAGCTAATCAATGAAATTAGCTCTGTTTTTCGTTCAGTTTACGTAAGAATTGTAAATGCGAAAGTTCAATTAATAAAAATGTTTAATTAAAAAAAAACGATGAGCACCAATTTTTACTATTAAAGAGAATCAAATAGAATGCATTGCTTAAAACATTGTAATCTTTCTGGTTGCCAAACAATTTAAACTGTTTCTATTTCTTGTCCGCAAAAAAAAACTAATTCGAAACAGTTATTCAAGATAAGCTCTTTTTTGAGCTCTCTTGATTTTACTCTCTCGCGCTCCGACGGCAAATTCTAGCAATTTTCTAGCCTGTGCAAAAGCTCAACGTCAAAAACAAATGATATTCGCATATTTTACCTTTATTTGAATACATGTAACTCCAAAAAAGCATTTAGTAGACTGATCTTTGCAATTATTTTAACACACGCGACACGTATAAAATGCATAAAGCACCCGTTATTTAATTACACTTCACATAATACGATTTTGCACTAGTGAAGCACTAACAACAGACCGATCTGGAGAACGACCGCGCACAAACTAAAAATCGTCGCATTCAGAGCGCGGCTGTGTGAGGCCAGTGCACTTGCACTAACACAAAAACAACATGGAGTCCACACACTTGTACGCTCACATCACCCACTCTGCTGTGCTAGGATAACGGGATCGAAAGCATCAACGAATCGTTGACAACGATAAATGACGTAGGCACGCTCTCCGACATACCATCCACAATGCTCGCTCTGTGGAAGCTGTCGCAGCCTGCAGTCCAGTACGTACGTACATATATAATCGTATTGATCTTCCATGAGTTGAGCATAGTCGTGCGTTCTTGTCATTGTTGTTTGCCAAGAATTATATTAAAGAGAATCCCTTTTCTGTTATTAACTAGACGCCACTGCAAGCATAAACCAACACTGGGCATCCGCAAAAAAAAGACTGTCATCAGAAAACTTCTGGCGTTCATCTCATTAGAAGCGAAACACTTCAAGGCCAACAACAATAAAAATAACAACAACTTGTCGCTAATTGTCGCGCTGTGTGCGTGTGTGTGTGTGTTGCTAAATGCCTGCCCGTTTCACTCGCAGCCTTCACAACACTGGACACTCGACAATACCACTTGATTGATTAATGGCTGTCAATGTCAGCGGAGGTGACAAGTGGCCAGAAAGTCAGCGAGGGGATTCAAAGCACGGTAATCAACAAGAGCTCCACTGACTAAATGATGTGCCAAATTGGACACGGCCTGGCGCTGGAGCTAGGGCACATTAGGGCGGAGCGGGCGGAGGGGCTGGTCTGCTGCCATGTGCCAAAAAGTATGCAATAAACTGTCAAAATGCCACACGGCAAATGACAAGAAAATTGTTGGTATTTTCTGATAAATTCTTTTTCTCCTTTTTTTTTTTGGCGGAAACATTTAATTTTGGGCCTCAACTGCGGTGGACCAGGTAAGTTAAGTTTCTTGCACGACTTGCACTTCCGGCTACTTTTGCATTTCCGTTACAACAAATAGAAAAAAAAACAAAAAATAAGAAGAAGAGGAAAAACCCAACAAACCTCGAAAATGGAGTCCATTGCGGATATCCGCACGGCAATTTTAATGCAATTTTTATGCGCTCGTTTTGGCTTCCTATTTTCTTATATTTTATTAGTTTCTTTTTATTTCTTCCCTCTAGTTTGCTTTTTATCGTATGGCATAATAGCAGTTGGTTGTTGCGGGCTCCAGGAAATGTGCCCGAGTGTGTCCTGTCCGAGCGGATGTGAAAGTTACGGCTGAATGCAGTGGAAGTACAGTGGTCCCTCGGCTTGGCCAAATTTACTTTATAATACGAATTTTTAATTTAAAAGTAAGTTTAATTATTTTTAAGTGCATAGACTAAAAGTTAAGAGAAATCTAAAGAAGTATTTCTAAGTTCGCATTGCATTAATTCGATTCGAAATTGCAATGGATATTAAGATTTTACCAAATGTAAAGGGTATTCAGATATTTTAACTTGTCATATTAATTAAGAAACAGATTTGAACTTCAGAACATCTTCCAGCTCAAGCCCTTAGACCCAGGTGCTTAAAAATAGCCTCCCTCCTGGAGCTGTAAATATAACAAGTAAGAGGTTCTAGTCGGGAGCTCCCGACTAGGGGATACCCTGAACCCTCTTCTTCCAACATCAAATGAATATATATAGTCTATTTTAGAAGCTATATGTCAAGTTTGGTAACTTTAGCTCTTATTATTTACCAAAATTGCCCAAAAAACAGGATATCGATATCGATTTTTATCGATTGCTTGGAAACGGAGTAAGTTATCGATTATCGGAAACAAACTCGATCTGCGCGGGAACTAGAAGCATCTACATCTAAAATTTCAAGTCTCTAGCTCTTATAGGTTCTGAAATCCTTTGACTCATACATACGGACGGACGGACGGACAGACAGACGGACATGGCTAGATAGACTCGGCTATTGATGCTGATCAAGAATATATATACTTTATGGGGTCGGAGATACTTCCTTCTGCCTGTTACATACATTTGGCTTTCGCACAAATACAATATACCCTTATACCCATTTTTAATGGGTTCAGGGTATAAAAAATGTATTACATTGATTCGATTCGAAATGGCAATACATATTAAGACTTTACCAAATTTAAGAGGTATTTTGATTTTTTAACTTGTCATATTTGAATTTCAGAACATCTTCCAGCTGAAACCTTTGAACCAGGTGTTAAGAATAGCATCCCTCCTGTAGTTGAATAAAAATATATCTCTATTATGTTAAATAAGCAACGAATATTATCACTTTTCGTTAGATTTTGTTTTCCCATGAATTGACAGAAAATAGAAATTATACAAATAAAATTTCCAAGTGAAAACCAACAACACAACAAAAAAAATATTTAGTATTTAATGTCTAAAAGACAAAAGAAGACATTTTAGCCTAAGGTAAAAGATGTTTAGAACTCAATCTTCAATTTTCCAATAGGAGAAATAATATTCCAAATTATTATTAAATTATAATTTGCAGAAGTCAATTTTTACTTTTCAAAATAAAAGAAAAAAAATTGTAATATTTAATTTTTATAAGGAATTTTATCCTAAAGAAATAAACGTATGAGGGAATTTGTTTCTTTAAATAATATAAAAATGTTATGTAGTCAATATTAAATTAAACAAAATTGTTTTTTCCACAGAGAAAAACAATTTGTTTTAATTCAATATTTAATGCTTTAATGTTTAAAATATTCAGATTTAATTGAATTGTAAGGTCGGAAGGAACAGAATAATCAGTTTAATAATTTTATTTTCCATCAATAAAAACGCGTTCATATTTGGTTATGGTTCTCATGTAATCAGTCTTTTGATTGCCGCTCAATATCTGAGGATAGTTACAGGTCTAATGGTCTTATTCTGTTCATCAAGCTCTATTCGATCTTGAAATACACAAGTTACTTAATTTTAGTCAACGTTCGTTTTTAGCTGTGCGTCGAAAGACGCCTCGCAAAAGTTTTCGCCCAAAAAGCAGCCGAAAAACGCTCTGGTAAAATTTTAGCATAAAACCATTTTACATGCTGCTAACCACGGGACCAATGTTGGAAAACTAAGAAAAGCAGCAGCTGCACCAACAAAACCAAACGAACGCCCAATTTAGCCGCCCACTCGACTGCTCGACTGTTGTTGAAAACCAAGAAAATTCTATAAAAAGGCAGCAAAGACGTCAGCAATGTCTACAACAGCAGCAGCAGCAACAACAGCAACAACAGCAACAGCAAAGGACATCAATAAACAGTGTAAAAGACAGTCGCCCGCGTCGGAGAGGACATGGGACATGGGACACAGGACACAGCGGACGCAGGACTTGAGAGCCGGCCATAAAGCTTCCGGCCACTGGCAGGCTTTGCTCTTCCTTCATATTTTTATCGAGCTAACGGGTTTATGCTGGAAGGGGGGGGTAGCGGCACGAAAACATACGTCAAAGATGCTTTATTGAGTGAAACAAACACTGCCCCCTACCCACACCCACACCCCCTATCCACAACGCCGAATTCCCTTTGCAGTTCGGTTTTGTGAAGGAGGGGGCGAGCTTCAAACAATTTTAAAGTTGTGCGGTTACTTAAGCGCCAGCCTCACTGTTATTACCCCTAGCAGCAGCCCGTCGACACCAACAGCCCCTCGCAACCAATCCACCCCAGCCCGCCAGCAGACCGCTTGGTTCAATGCCGCGCAGCAGCTGCCGCTGCAGACAAACAAAGCGCCTCGGGCGGGATTTTAAAAAGCACTTACCAAAGCTACCAAGAATGGGCGCTACGCTTAGGCAGCTAGTGCAGGGCACTGCGAGGGGGTCATGGGGTCGCGCTGAGCGGCGCAGGGACTGAGTTTGGGGGCGGCATTTGCGTATAAGCTTGCCAGCCTGCTGGCAAATTTGCAAAATATTGACAGGCACTGGCAGCCCCAACGAACGCTTTTATAAATCAATATTTTATTAGCTGCCATGTGGGGGCACAGCCTGACAATGGCTCCCGGGCGGCAATGGGCGTGGTGGCGTGTTTGACGCTGACGCAAACAGGTAGGTGACAAACTTTTTAAGCAGCTGTTGTGATTGGTGAACAGCAATTGTAATTCTTACAAATAAACAATTAAGTCAGTTGTTGAGGAAATTTTTGTAATCTGGACAATTTTCGGTAGAGACAATTTAGACAGGTAAGAACTATCGATTTGGAGTGACTTTTCGAAAGTCATTTCATATTGCTTTTGATTATATTTATCGGTGTATTATTATCGATTCTTTACGAATATGTATGCACTCAGATCATATCAAAAAATTTATCGGTATTTACAGAATAACTAGAGATATATATAAAGGGGCACATCGACAGCCATTTGGAAATTCATATTTTATCGTTTATTTATGTATTTGTATGCGCTCAAGTCTTATCAGAATAATTATTACTTATCGATAAATATACAAGAACTATCGATACACGTGAAGTGACTTATCGATAGGCATATACAATTCATATTTCATCAATGTTCATGCATTTGTATGTACTCAGATCTTAGTAAATTAATCTACTTTTATAAATGTATGCAGAATAATTATCGATATATGTGAAGTTAATTATTGACTTCTAGAAAGTCGGTTAAAATTACAAAAATTATTCATAGTATATGTATACAAGTAAAAGCGATATAAAAACGTCGTCAGCATGATCAATATCTAAGTAGACTGGCAAAATAATTATCGAAATCTATCGAAATCTATTCAGTATTTAATATTTTAAGATAGTAGTAATCGATACTTGCAAGTTATCGATAATTTGAAATAAATATATAAATTAATAATTGGCAAAATAGTAAATGTTTTGGCAAATCATTAAACAAATTTTTAAAAAATTTTATAGCATCAAATAATCGATAATTAATCAAAAAATATTGAATGCTTTGATTTTAGTGAAAGTTAACCGAGCTTCCTCTTGAACTATTTGTTAAGATGATTGTCGTTCATTTCCAGCTTATTCAATTTTTAGACTCTTTTTTCTTTTGACTGTCAATAGCAGCTAATAGTCATTATAGTATCCATTTTCTTTAATCTATTCTTTGGCCTTCTTTTTTTTCCAGCCGAGATCAAAAGCAAATGAACACATGTTCGACTACAGCTGGCGGCCATACACAAGCAGCAAACAGCAGAGCGGGTCAATAGGACAACATGGGACTCAAACAGCCCTCCCCCCCCCTCCACCCTACCACTTAGTAAGGACATTCATATCATGTCTATGGTATATCCTTGGCAGAGCAACTGCGTGCAGCGCCTTCTAAATGCGACGCCTGCAGCAAACGCATTGAAAGAGAACGAAAAGGAAAATATTTTCTACAATTTGTTGTTGTTGCTGTCGCTTTACGCACTCAGCAAAAAACTAAAAAGAGAAAGAAAAGATGTTGCAAGTTGCTGCTGCTGCTGCTGCTTTCATTACTTATTTCTTTATGACGCTAATGTCCTTAATTCGTCAGTGTTAACCTAATTTCGAGTAGTCGAACCGAGCCGAGGCAAAGTTCGACGACAGGCGGCAGGCAGCAGGCAGCAGCAGGAGGCAAATAGAAAGAATTATGCCAAGAAAGTTTTCTATTTTGTCGCAGCGGCAAAAGTTTTGCGGCCAATGCGACGACGACAACGACGACGACGATTGTGGCACACACACACACACATACACACACACACACGCACGGACCAGTTCTATGCTGGCCATGTCCTTTGTGTTTGTCTGGGCCTGCGAGTCTCTGAGCTGTGCGCATTCCCAAAGGCTATATAAATCATAATAATTTTGCAATGTAGCGAATGGCAAAAGGAACAGCCGCAGCGGCAGCGGCAGCGGCAGCATTCTCCATGTCGCATATCCTTGTGGCATGTCCTTTATTTGCTACGTGTTGATGTCCTTTTGATGGCACTTCTTTAGCACAACTTGCCTTGGCCAGGCCAGGCCAGAAAAGCCTCCTGGGCAAACCAACCAAGCGAGTCCCGACCCACAACTGTCTGTCTGTCTGTCTGTCTGTCTGTCTGTCCGTTTCGTCCTGCTGGTGCGTGGGTGCCTGCGTGCGTGCGTGCCTGCGTGTCGCCTTGTATTTGTAATTCCTAGCAGCATGTCCAGCATAAAAATATACTTAAGTGATTTCTCTTGATTCACTTACATAGATTTGGGTTACATTTTCTTCTTCACTATGCCGCTCAAGACTCTTGCCACAGCGTTGCCAATAAATAATTTTTATGTTTTGAATATGTCCCAGCAGTAGCAGCAGCAGCTAGCCAGAGCATCCTTTGCCCTGATCCTTCATTTAATTTCGCTTAAAAGCGCCAAAAGTTAAGCTGTAATCATTTAAATGATTTATTTAACTTGATTTTCATATCACGGATCGCCGCTTGTCATCTTTCGGCCGGGGCAGGGCGGAGGACTTGGGCCACAAAACATTTGCCTTTATTTTGGCCCTGCCCTTGGGGTCAGGTCCAGCGCATAGATTGGGGACATTCTCAATCATAATTTGTTGGTGTCACAATGATAATAACAGATTTATATGCGTATCCGAAGAGTAAGGTGAAATTTTATACATATATATATATATATATATATATATATTTTTGTTGGTTTTCCATTTTTGTGACTTGTGCAGAGATTTAAGTTCATTTAAGAGTTTAAGAAAGGATTTGTTAAAGCATTACAAAATATATATATATAATACTATATATAAAGAAATCATTTTTTAATTTTTATTAAAGTAATCCCATGCTTGAAAGATTTTGATTGAAATTGCTGCATTTATGTTGATGATTTTTATTTTTTTTAAATTAAATTTTAATTTTAATTTCTGCCTTTATTTACAAGTTTTTTATTTGAATTATTTTCTACAATACAATAATATTTTAATTAATTAAATAATTATTCTTCTGCTTGTCTTGACGCTAACCACACTCTTATAACATTTTACAACACTATATCTTTAGCAATTTTAGCCAGTTTCCGTAGTATATTTTTTTTATATAAGAAATAACTTTATTTCTTATAATTATAAATTAATTTTTCATATTAAAAAAATTTTTTTTAATCCATTTCAACTTTTGGCAATGGCAATGGTAATTTATGAGCTTCAGCGAAGCTTAACAAAGCTAGGCAACATTGTTTAAACACTTTCCCACACTCGATTTTTTTTGCAATCGTTTACCAATACTGTTACGCTAATGTTTCTTTAATTAATTGAACAATAGAAAACTGTTTCGCTAACATTCGAAATATGCAAACAAATGCGATAATCAAAAACGAGCCAAACAAAAGCGATTTATCCTTGACCTCAGAGGCAAAACGTAGTCATTAGGAGATTTTTGCGCTGCA